CAAGGCTGTGTCCTGCTAACTCAACTACTTTCCCATCCAGGGTCAAATGGCCAGGGTCCCATGTTATATCTTGGGGACACATTGTGGGAACGACTAGCCCAATTCTGTCCAGGTAGATGGCCCGTGACATCAGCTACAGGGATCACCCAAGATAGCCTGTTTTACCAATAAGCATTTTAACCTTGACTCTCTGTAGTTCCCATTTAGTGAGGACTGCACACATTTAGACTCAATTCTACTTCTTGGGTGAGGTGCCCAGGGAAATGGGATGTTCCTAATTACAGCAGAGTTCTGGAGCCTAGACAAAGCTGATGAATATACCAAAAGTGGAGCTTTTACAATTCTAAATATATATATATAATTTATATATATTAATACATATATTAACCAATAGTGTCTTCTCTAAATGCTCAAATAAGAACTGATCATATTACCACTAGTGAATCTACCTTAGAATTCTCTTTAAGACTTCTCCTTCTGTCTATACATAGAAAAAAATCCTCAAGGATCTATAAGTCAAGGACCATGGATGGCAATAGAATGGGAGTGGGGTCAGTTTGATATATATCTATATTCTTTGAACTATTTGCAATAAATACTAACTGTTGAAAATGGGAAAAAATTCTATCTTGGTTTTTTGTTTTGGTACCAGGGATCAAACTCGGGTCCTTGCGCTTAAGCAGCAGGTGGCGAAACCACTGAGCTAAATCCCCGGCCTGTCTCGTTAATCTTGTGGTGAATTTCTCTCTCATTTTCTAATGTTGGATGTTTAAAAAACTATTAAAAAGAATCTGTTTTATGATTCCATTACTAGAAATTTGTTATCCAATTTTTGTTATAAAGCTACAATGACCACCGTTTTATTTTAAGTTGTATTAAGTGTTAACTCCTCTATTACATACGTAAAGGCAGACGCTGTATCATTCAATGCACATGGACCATGTGATTTCAGAGCAGGTTCTGTTTTAGAGACAAATATATGAGTAGGACCTGGCCACTGTTCTCAGGGAGATAACATACTTTAAGACAGATGTACAAACAGCTAAATGACTACACGTGATGACTTGTCATCAAGAGATGAAAAAGCATCTGAAAGCAAGGGAATGAGGAGGGAGACTACCTTGGAACAACTTCAAAGAAAAGGTTATATTTAGGTTGTATTTTATTTTTTCTTTTAAAATATGAAGAGTGGCCTGGGAGGAAAAGGAAAACATCATTCTAGGAAGAAGTATGGAAATTTGCAAAAGTGTGAACTTTTATCTTTTAAACTCTGATGGCTTTTATCATTCTCTTCCTCTCTATCCCTCTGTTTATCCAAACCTGCCCAGAGTTCAGGGTCCTGACCTCTCAGAACTCTAATAGTGGTCTCCCTAACTTCAGCCTTTCACTCTTCAAATCTTCTGCTTCCAGATGACTTTATAAAATACAAAGAATGCCTTTATCTCCCACTTAAAAATCTACATGGCTTATTTCAACTGATATAGAAAAAAACATATGACCAAAATTCAGCAAACTTTCCTGATTAAAAAAAAAATTCAACAAATTAAGACTAGAAAGGAACTTCTTCAACAGAATAAAGAAAGTTTACTAAAAGCCCACAGCTACCATCATATTTAATAATGAGAGGCTGAACACTAGGCAGAAAGTATAAATAAAACAGCTGGGCATGGTGGTGGATGCCTGTAATCTCAGCACTCAGGAGGCTAAGGTAGGAGGATTGATGTGGGTTTGAGGCCAGCCTAAGTTGCACAGTGAGTTCAAGGCAAGCCTGAACTACATAGCAAAACCAAACCAAACAATAAAAGGCTAAAAAAAGAAAAAATACTAGGACAGCTATTCTTGCTGCTGGTATTCAACACTACACGAAAAATATCAGTGAGAATGTTTAGGCAAGAAAAAGAAATAAAAGACATTCCATCTAAATTGTAAAGAAGTAAAACTATCTATACTCACAGACATGATTGTTGTTTTTTTTTTGGTACCGGGGATCGAACTCGGGCCCTTGAGCCTATGAGGCAGGCGGCGGAACCACTGAGCTAAATCCCCGGCCCCAGACATGATTTAATATAAAAAAAAAATCCTGAAGAGAACTCACAAAGAACTTTTAGTGCTAATACACAAATCCAGCAAAGTTGCGGGATAAAAGTTCAACACACAAAAACTAGTGTGTTTAAAAAAAAAAAGTAGTGGGGGCCAGGGATTTAGCTCAGTGGTTCCAGTGCCTGCCTTGCAAGCACAAGGTCCCAAGTTCGATCCCTGGTTCTAAAAAAAAAGTAGTGCTTATATATACCAGGAATGAGTAATCTGAAAAGGAAATTAAGAAAGCAAGTATATTAATAATGACATCCAAAAGAATAAAATATTTAGGAACAAACTTTATCAAATAGGTGAAAGACTTGCACAATGGAAACTAAGTAGACTTAAAAGATTGCAATATTCCCTAAACAGATTTAGAGATTCAATGCAATCTTTACCAAAACTTCAATAGGTCGCTGCCTGCTGAGCAAGCGCAAGGACCAGAGTTCGATCCCTAGTACCAAAAAAAAGAAAAAAAACTTCAATAGGGCCGGAGATTTAGCTCAGTTGTTCTGCCACCTGCCCCACAAGCGCAAAGACCTGAGTTCCAACCCCGTGACCCCCCAAAACAAACAAACCTTCAATAGCCTTTTTTACAGAAATGACAAAGCTATTCTAAACTTCATATGGAATCATAAAGGATCCTAATATTCAAGTGATCCTGATAAAGAACAAAGTGGAGGACTCACACATCCCAATTTTAAAATTTACTACAAAGCTACAATAATGGGAGTAGGGGCCTAATTCAGTGGTAGAGAGCTTGCCTAGCACACAGGTTCAAGTCGCCAGGGCTGGAAATGCTAATAAAAAACCACATTTCTCCAAAAAAGATAAACAAATGGCCAAAAAGCACCTGAAGAGATGCTTGACATCTTTAGTCACTAGGAAAATGTAAATTAAAAACAAAATGACTAGCCAGGTATGGTGGCACACTCCTGTAATCGCAGCACTCGGGAAGCTAAGGCAAGAGGAACCCTGCAAGTTGAAGGACAGCCTGGGCTACATAGTTAGTTGAAAGCCAGCCTACATAGCAAGACCCTGTCTCAAAAAACCAAAAACCAAACCAAAACAAAACATGATCTGTTCATACAATGGAACATTTTCAGCCATAAAAAGCAATGAAGTACTAATACACACTAAGCATGGGCAGATTTCAAAAACATTATGCTAAGTGAAAGAAGCTTGACACAAAAAGGCAATGTAGTATACTATTCCATTTATAGGAAATGTCCAGAATAGGTAAATCCATGAAGATAGAAAGCAGAATAGGAAGGAGGGTATAAGACAGCATGGTTGCTTAATAAATATAGGGGTCTCCTTTTGGGGTGATAAAAAATGTTCTAGAACTAGACAGTGATGATGGCTGTCCAACATTATGAATGTATTAAATTGTACACTTTAAAATAGTTAAAATGGTTTAATTTTATATATGTTCTACCATATTCAAGCACTCACATACAACTATATGTCTCCCTAATGTCCTCATGATCTGCATGCAATTGCTTCTCTTACTTAACCCACTAGTTCCTCCACCTCTCCACATCAAGTTCCAAGCCTCTCTCTGGCTTTGAACAAACCACACAGTTTCAGTCATTGGGTTGTTCCTCACACATCTGACTGTCTGATAAACTTTCCAGACTCAACTCATTCACCCAACCGATATTTACTTAAGTCTCCTATATTTCAGACACTGTATTATACATTAGGATACAGGAACTAATTAACACAATCTTTACCCTTTGGAGCTTGAGTCCATGGAGGGGCGACAAGAAAAATCAATTAAATAATTGCACACTGCAGCACTGAACTTGAAAGACACCTTCCAAGTAGGAAAATACAGTGTAATGATAGTATATAACTAAGGGTCCCTGACCTAGTGGTGCTAGAGGCAGGAATGTAAGGGAAAGGTTCCTTGAAAAAGAGACATTTAAGCAGAGTCCTGAAGGATAAAGAAGTTAGATCAGAGGGGCCATTTTCAAGAGGCTGAGTCCCAGAAGAAGGCAAACCTTGGGGCTGGTCATGACATTCAGCATTGGAAAAAGGTGAAGCCCTCAGCCAGTACTCACTCAACCTTGGCTGCCTTTCCTCAGTGCTGGAAGAGGTGTAAGGACCCTGGGATTTGTAAAGAAAAAGGAACAGGGAACTTTGGTCTTATACTCCTTGCAATGTTCTCCAGAAAACCATTTCAGATCCACCTTTGTTATTTGGGAGATTTTCCTGAACAAAGGTTCCCCTGCCCTTGGCTCCTTTAAGAAGTCGTTTATCTTCCTTTTCCTTTATGACCCCAGTTTATCTAGAAAACATTCATATCCTTTCATTGTGGCTCTTGGAGTCAACCTGTAGGAAGAGAAAAGGGTTGACTTCACCTCTAACTCCCAAACCTTGGTGTTGCCTCATCCAGCTGGGATTGGGGACTGATAAATCAGAACTGCAGAATGTAGGGGATGTGGGAGAAGACAGGGAGGGGCTCGGATAGTTGGGGATCATTAGGTCCAGTAGGGTTTAAGTTTCAAGTTAAAGGTGTTTGGTTAGGGGTTTCTAACTGAACTGAACTTTAGACCCACTGAATAGGCAGTGTCCCCAGGTGGATTAGACAAGTTTAAGAATGCTTTTATGGACAAAAAGAGTGAGGGTTTTCGGCCAGGTATTTAGCTCAGTGGTGCTGCCGCCTGCCTCGCAAGCGCAAAAAAAAAAAAAAAAAAAGAGATTGCGGGTTTTCTAGCAAATGCGTGAAAGAGCCTAACTACATTTTACAATTCCACCAGTCCGAGAGTCTGAGGCCTGGGAAGCACTGAGGTCCACGCGAGAAGCAGTGAGGTCTCCGAGCAGACGAAATCACCTTTACGTCGATTTCTGGCGCCCACCACGCTGTCCCGCTCAGTGGACTTCACTCAGGGAGCGCAGCTGGCCACAAACTTTCTTACCCGTCTCATGCGACCGTTGGACAGCAGATCAGCGATTCCCTTGGCTGCGTCGTTTTTCTCGGCCACACAGAGGACTTTCCGCACGCCTCGGAAGGCCACTTCCATGGCGGCGAGGGTCAAGGCACGGCCTCCGGGCCGTCGAAGCCACCGGAGCGGGTAATGGACGACCGAAAAGATCATCTTTAGGTCCCGCGCCCGCAGCAGCCCTCCGGGTGCCTACGCATGTTGGGGAAGCCAGAGACGAAGCCCGCCTGGCTCGCAGTCAAGGGAACTACAGATTCTGGGAGGCGCCTGCCTTTCGGTGACCTCCCCACCAGGGTGCCGGCTTTCGGGGAGCTATAGTTACTGCTCCTTCTCCCGTCCGCCTCGGACTCTCCACCAAAGCCCGGACCTTTTTTTTGCTTCCTCCCGCCTTCTATAGCCACTTCCTTCAGGCGCGCGCCCACAGCGACCTGAAACTACAGCTCCCAGACTGCCTCGCGCTCCCACAACTCTTATCTAAGCACTTTTCTCCCCCTCCTTCAGGCCCCACTTTACTTCCTTTCACTATGCTGCTTGGTTAGTTGGATTGGTACTTCGGAGGAGCTGCTGGACAGTACGGTTCAAGGAACTCTATACCGCTCCTGCTCGGAAGTCTGCGCAGACACTTCCGGGTCACGCGACGTTGTTGACCGCGAGTCATGTGATGCTAAGATGGCGGCGCCGCGGTAGCTCTCTCCGGTTTGTGGCATCGAAGGAGCCGCGACGCTTTCTGCCCTCGGGCCGTGGGGGTGGCAAAGCTTGGCTGACCCCTGCGGCCACGTTAGGCACTCTATCGGGACTGGGGCTGTTGCAGTAGCGGTGGGTTTCTCGAGTGCTAGTGATCTTATTGCAGGTGCCTTGCTCCGGCGGTGCTTGCCGGAGGAAGAGGAGAGAGACCATCCTCCGCAGTCTTCTGTGTCTGCAGCTTTGCAGTTCACGAGGCCTCCGAGAGGTCCGGAGGAGCTGTACTTCTGAGGGAGCTGCTAAAGTTCGAGTGCTGTAGTGTGAGAGGCAGTCTAGGCTCCCTGGGGCCGCAAAGAAGACCTCAAAGACTTCGCTTCCTCCTTTAGAGGCCTGGCTTTGCTGCATCGATTGACCCCGCGTTCTTTCCCACTTCCTCTCAATGTTCTCTTCCTATATCAGGAAATATGATCAGCGCCCCTGATGTGGTAGCTTTCACCAAAGAAGATGAGTATGAGGAAGAGCCTTACAATGAGCCGTCCCTGCCTGAGGAGTACTCCGTGCCACTCTTCCCCTTCGCCAACCAGGGAACCAACCCGTGGTCTAAGCTGTCCGGGGCCAAGTTCTCGAGGGACTTCATCCTTATTTCTGAGTTCTCTGAGCAGGTGGGACCCCAACCCTTGCTGACCATCCCCAACGACACCAAAGTTTTTGGCACCTTTGATCTCAATTACTTCTCTCTGCGGATCATGTCTGTGGATTACCAGGCTTCCTTTGTGGGCCATCCTCCTGGTTCTGCGTACCCTAAGTTGAACTTTGTGGAGGACTCCAAAGTGGTACTGGGAGACTCCAAGGAAGGAGCCTTTGCATATGTGCATCACCTAACCCTGTATGACCTAGAGGCCCGAGGTTTTGTGAGGCCCTTCTGTATGGCTTATATCTCAGCAGACCAGCATAAAATCATGCAGCAGTTCCAGGAGCTTTCAGCTGAATTTTCCAAAGCCTCCGAGTGTTTGAAATCAGGCAATAGGAAGGCATTTGCTGGGGAACTTGAAAAAAAGCTTAAAGACTTGGATTACACCAGGACAGTCCTGCATACAGAAACGGAGATCCAGAAGAAAGCCAATGATAAAGGTTTTTACTCATCTCAGGCAATTGAAAAGGCTAATGAACTGGCCAGTGTGGAGAAGTCCATCATTGAACATCAAGACCTGCTGAAGCAGATCCGCTCATACCCTCACAGGAAGGTGAAGGGGTCTGATTTGTGTCCTGGTGAGATGGAGCACACCCAGGATCAGGCTGATCATGCATCCACTACCTCTAACCCAGATGGGTCTGCGGACTCAGACAGTTACACCTGCAGACCAGCGTACACCCCAAAACTCATCAAAGCAAAGTCCACCAAGTGTTTTGACAAGAAGTTGAAGACCTTGGAGGAGCTCTGTGATACTGAGTATTTCACCCAGACCCTGGGCCAGCTCAGCCACATTGAGCACATGTTCAGAGGAGATCTGTGCTACCTCCTAACCAGTCAAATTGACCGAGCACTTCTAAAACAACAACACATAACAAACTTCCTCTTTGAAGACTTTGTGGAGGTTGATGACAGGATGGTGGAGAAACAAGACAGTGTACCCTCTCAGCCCAGTCAAGACAGGCTACCTTCCAGGTCTCTGGAAGAATGCCCGATTCCTAAAGTGTTAATTAGTGTTGGTTCCTACAAGTCCAGTGTGGAGTCTGTGTTGATCAAGATGGATCAGGAACTTCGAGATGAGGAGTACAAGGAAGTAGAGGTAACAGAATCAAGCAGTTTTGAGCCCCAGGAAAACTTGGACTACCTGGATATGGACATGAAAGGGAGCCTCAGCAGTGGTGAAAGCATTGAAGTTTTGGGCACGGAGAAGTCCACTGCTCTACTGTCAAAGTCTGACAGCCAGGCTAGCCTCACGGTACCATTGAGTCCCCAGGTGGTCCGAAGCAAAGCAGTCAGCCACAGGACCATCAGTGAGGACAGTATTGAAGTCCTGAGCACCTGTCCTTCTGAGGCCCTCATCCCTGATGACTTTAAGGCCAGCTACCCAAGTGCCATTAATGAGGAAGAATCCTATGCAGAGAACGAGGGGGCCATCCACTTCCAAGTAAGCCTCAGTCCACTGGAGCTGGGTGAGGTGCAGGAGGGTGGCTTGGAAAACACCCCACCCCAGATAGACTCCTCCTGCTGTATTGTGAAGGAGAGCAATGGTCAGCTGGTGCCGCTCCCCACTCCTGCCCACACTCACGCTGATGAGTACGGCGTGGTGAGCATTGCCCCACAGCGCTACAGGCAGAAGGACCAAGGCTTCCGTGTGGACTTTGCAGTGGAAAACATCAATCCTTCCCAAGACAACAGTTGTGAAGCATTCCCAGCTTATGAGTTGGATCCAAGCCACCTGCTGGCTAGCCGGGATGTCAGTAAGACTAGCCTGGATAACTACTCGGACACCACCAGCTACGTGAGCAGTGTGGCCTCCACCAGCTCAGACAGGACCCCCTCCTCTGCTCACCCTGTCAGCCTGTCTTCTGAGAGACATAAAAAGAAGGCTGGCCAGAATGCCTTAAAATTTATTCGCCAGTATCCCTTTGCTCACCCGGCCATCTACTCCCTGCTCAGTGGGAGGACACTTGTGGTTCTAGGAGAAGATGAGACCATAGTCAGGAAGCTTGTGACTGCACTGTCCATCTTTGTTCCCAACTATGGCCACTATGCCAAGCCTGTGAAGCACTGGGTCTCTTCTCCTTTGCACATTATGGATTTTCAGAAGTGGAAGCTTATTGGCCTGCAGAGGTAACTGGTTCCAGGTGGTGGGGAGGTGTCCTGGCCAGTTAAGAGATGAGGGAAGTTGGTGTACAGGGCCCAGAATTGGTAGACCCAGTTTCTAAACAGGGCCCAACTCCACCTGACTTATTTTTGACAGTTCATTTTCCTCTGTGGCTTTGGTTTCATGTCATGTAGAGGGAAGAATCACAGTTCCTAAGTAGTTGCTAATGATGCCAGTGTGTCCCTCTGTTGTGTCAGAATTACTTTGGGAGAATTTTTAAAATCATAGATTCATGGGCTCCATCCTCAGAGATTGTGATTCAGTTGGTTTGAGGTAAGACAGGCTTTGTTTGATGTATAGCAAAGTTGCAGATCTCAGGTCCTTTCTGACTCTCAAAATCACACTGGTGACTGGCCATCATGGGTGGGACAGGAGGGCACCAGGGTTTTCACTGGTATTTTTTTGTTTTTGTTTTTCCAATTGGAACCCAAGGTCTTTCCCACAGCCTCTGCTTGCCAGGCAAGAGCTGTACCTCTGAGCTACATCCTCAGCCTTAAAGAGGAAATGTGAGGGCCAGTGATTTAGCTCAGTGGTTCTGCTGCCTGTCTCGAAAGTGCAAGGTCCGGAGTTCAATTCCTGGTACCAAAAGAAAAAAAAGGAAACGTAAGAGCCACTTCTTTCTTCTTTCCTCTGAATACTGTTTATTTCATTCTACTGATACTCGTGCTTTAGATTCCTTTATCTTTATATATTTATAAAGACCTGCTTGACAGGTCTAGCTGAGCCTCCCCCCAGCCCTTGTTTGGCCTGTGTTTAGTTTCCTCATTTTATGACATGTCGTTTTCCTTTTCTTCATTAGCTTTGCTCATTTGTAAACTAGAAGTGCCCAGCTAGGTGATCATCACAGTCCCTTCTGAAGAGGGAGCAGTCTATACTTCCCACAGAAGGGGCAAAAGGAATTTCTTCCACACTGCAACAGCAACCATTTCTCTTTACATGGTGCCTAATATCATTGAAGTCACCACCTCCTGAGTCTTCATGTGTTTGTCCCTCGTGTGGAAGTAGTGGGACCTTACCGTGACTTTTGCTCCATTAGTTACTGGAATAGTACGGTGGAAGTTCAGCCAATGCTGCTTCCACATTATGATTTGGGTCACTTGTGGAGTCTACTCCAGGCTGTGCTTGAACAAGGCCACTGCTCTGGAAGAGTTCATAGTCCAGGAGAGGAGGGAGACAGGTGACCAGAGTATTACATTCATGGAGACAAGAGTTGTAATATTGGGATACTTCCAGTGTCTTAAGACAAAGGGAGCAACTTAGTAACACCTTGGAAGAGAGGAATGTCTTTGCTTGAGTACACAGGAGGGCGGGGTCCTCAGTCACTGAGTCAGGAAGTCCATGAGGGGCCAGTCATGAGAGTACTCTAAAGGCCCTAGGAGGAGCTGTTCTCCAGCTTCTCTGTGAGGCCAACTGGTCCCTGCTTCTTGGTCTGTCCCCAAAAGGAAAGGCTGTCTCAGATTGGTTTTTGCTGCTGTCACTTGTGGAAGGGTGGGTCAGTATCCCACACACACATCTCTTTCGGTTCTCCAAGTCCCCTCAGCCCACCCTTTGGTTTTGTAAAAGGTGGAGAATAAAAAATGCACTAAGTAGGCGCAGCTTACAATCTGTTGACATAGGAAACCTTCGCAGAGGCTTCCCAGAATTTCCCCATGCAGCATGTGTCAGAGTGGTGAAGGAGGCTCAGGTAGTTGTCAGCAAGGCTTTGTTGAGGGACACTGAAGACTAGGCCAGGCTGAGTTGGAAAGGCTATGATCCATGAATGATGTTGTGAGGGTGCTGATGGGCAGTGTGTTTGTCCATGGAGGAGAAGAGACCTGAGCAAGTATGTGTTCTGGGGCTGCCCTATCCCGGCTCATTCACGGTGGGGATGTCACTCTTCCATTCTAACAGAATGACAGGGTTTGATCACTGGCTATTTGCCAAATATTTATGAGGGCAGCTAAGAGCTAGACACTACCTAGAGGGAGCCAGCGTGGTATATACTCTGGCCCCCTCTGTCACCATGCTGCCAGCTTGACCTCTCAGGCTGTTTTCCCATGCTGCAGACAGAGCTGACGAGACCTGGTTCATGGTAGCAGATGTCACAAAGCCCATGGGATCTGATGGTGTTCAATGCATGTGAACGCTCCTCTGTCACACTAGTGGTCTGTGAGGGAGGCAGGCAGGATAGCAGGGCTCCAGGTGGTTCTGGCTAGCCACACCTCAGGGAGCATCCTGGGAAAGCCAGAGGCTCTGACAGTTGAGGCCAGTGCACACAGATAGGAACTTTGCTCACAAAACTGGCCTCACGTTTTTTTTTTTTGTTACCGGGGATTGAACTCTGGACCTTGCGCTTGGAAAAGCAGGTGGCGGAATGCCCTCACATCTTCTGAGTGGGGACAGATGTGGGTTATCTGGAACCCAGTGTCCTGTACAGGTGTCAGCATACAGTCAAGGATGGGGATGGGAGGCTGTGTCCAGAGAACAGGCCACAGAGGGTCCCAGAGTGGTGTGGGAATGGATCGGCTACAGCTCATGGAGAGAAGCCCTCTGGGGGATGAGTGGCCATGATGGTGGAACATCAGGAGGCGAACACTGTCATGGGCTGTGGTAGTTACAGAAGGAACAGTGGGGTCTGCGTCAGGCTCTGGTGCTGTCGTCACTTCTGTATAGTTCTGGACCTGCACCCTCCTTGCTTATTAATTCCCCAAATCAGGTTGAGCCCCTGTGTGTAGGGTGTAGGGGTTAGGCCCTCATGGTGCCCACCTTCTGGAGCTGTAGGAAGGACTGACATTTAGAATATGGGTCATGCTATACTGCAGCTCCTGGCCCCTAGAAGTGCTCAGGGACATGGACATATGGTGGGTCTCCAGGCAGGCAGGACTGCATTGACATAGGGAGGCACACTGAGCCCCAGCTTTAAAAAATCACAAGGAGTGGGAGAGGTGCCTTTTGTCCTCATGACCTTGTCCACAGAGCTGTTGAACTCCAGTAGGACTAGGTAAATTTGGACTCCTGAGGTCTTTAATTTCATCTAGAATGAGCTCAGATGATGAACTGTTTTTGGACTCTTACCTCAAACCACCAGCTTCACTGGCCTTAGATTCTTCACACTTACATAGGCCCTCTGCCTGGAAATCCAGTCCTTGTCAGCTGGATCAGTGTTGGTGGGAAGAGATGAACATATAGTTGTACTGGCCTCCTATCATTTTACATAAATAGCAAGGTGAACTGCATGCCTGAGTAAGCAGCAGGAACAAGCCCTGGACTAGGAGAAAGTGCTAGTGGGGATCAGAGGCCTGAGTTGAGTCCTGGCTGGCTGACCATGGACAAGCCACAGCCCCACTGGGGCCTCTGTCCCATGGGTCAGGGTTGTCCCTCCTAACTTTGGGCTGGCCATACTGTCTTAAGCACATGAGGTGGGAGATGCTCCCTGCAGCAGAGGATAGAGATCTAGGCTGACTCCGTGTCATATGGCCTCCTGAGGAAGAGCTTTGTGGAAAACAAATGGAAGAAGAGCTAGAAGTAACCAGCATCTTCCAAAAGAAGTGCTGCCATTGAGAGTGAGAAGAGTGCCAGAGTGGCACCCCAAGGTGCTGGATCTCAGCTGGGCATCTTAGCAGAGATGGAGGAGCAGGCAGATGGGAGGTGAGTCCTGAGTGGAGGGGGCTAGACATGTGAAGCTTGGAGAGTTATTTGGCTTGTGGGCTGCCCCCTGCCTGGGCCAGGTAAGGGTGCCCAGAGAGCAAACTGAGTGTGGAGAAGCCAGTGCAAAGTCCAGAGGGCTCTAGGGGTGGGGACCACTGAGGCACTAAAGGCTCTAGTAGGTTAGGGCAGCTGGATTATAGATGATCTATCCTTGTTCTAACAGACTTTCTGAGCTATGGCTGCCTGCAGGCTGATTTCCCCCTAGCCTGTGGGGTGTGCTGTCTAGGTTTAGGACACAGGGCCTGAGTGGGTCTCACCATCTGATTTCTGTGACTTTGCCTTGCTCTGGTCTTCATACTGTCCCCAGAGCCAAAGCTCTTTCTAAGGCCCAAATCCCTGGTGTCTCAGCCATGGGTCTCCTGTGCAGACTGAGACCGTATCTCTCTTCACCTCATTGTGCTTAGGTGCAGACCTTCTCCCAGTCAGTCCCAACTCATGCAGGACAGGATTCCAGGTTATTCTGCATTACAAACTTGGTTCCCAGACCAGTGCCTACTATGTGGTAGATGTGCAGTGGTTGTTAATTATGAGACCAAGTGGGTATACAGAATGGAGATGCTCCTTGTCCCATGGGGAGATGAGTAAACAGACAGCAGTCACCAGACTGGTTGGTGCTGGGTTCAAAGTAGGAAAGATGATAGGGCCAGGGACCATCCTAAGGCAATTCACTTCGTTTTTGTAGTAACTCTATATAACAGTAGGAACTATTATCTCCATCATAGATGAGTCTCAGAGAAGGTAAGGAGTTTGACCAAGGTCTCAGGACAGAAGTAGAAGCACAAAGAAGAGCAGATTAGGGAAGGCTAAATAATGGTTTTAATTGGTGTGAGTCAAGGCCAGGAGGCAGAGAAAGGATTTTAGGGAGAAGAACAGGCAGGTGGTTTTGAGGCCCCAAAGGCTTGGCTGGCTCCAAGAAGAGTCCATTCAGGTAATAGTCCATTTCTACTTCAGAGGCCAGTAGGAATCAGATTGCTCAGGGCCTTATGGACCAAACTAAAATGTTTGAACTTGGTCAGGAGGGTAGTGAGGAGCCCTTCAGAGATTTTGATGATCACATTTGCCTCCAAAAGGAGCCAGTGCCTGCTGGCTGGGTGGGAGCCAACCTGGGAACAGTGGGTCCCATGCCCCAGGTGTCTTCCTCTATCTTCCTGACCCTTGCCCATCCTCCTGACCTTGGTCTGTCTGTTTCAGAGTGGCCTCCCCTGGCAGTGCAGGCACCCTTCATGCCTTGAGCCGCTACAGCCGCTACACAAGCATCTTGGACCTGGACAACAAAACCCTGCGCTGTCCCTTGTACAGGGGCATGCTGGTGCCCCGCCTGGCAGACCACCGCACTCAGATCAAGCGGGGCAGCACCTATTACCTGCATGTGCAGAGCATGCTCACCCAGCTCTGCTCCAAGGCCTTCCTCTACACCTTCTGCCACCACCTGCACCTGCCTGCCCATGACAGGGAGACAGAGGAAGTGGTAGCCAGTCGCCAGCTGAGCTTCCTGAAGCTGAACCTGGGCCTAGTGAATGAGGACATCAGGGTGGTCCAGTACCTGTCTGAGCTGCTGAAGCTGTACTACATGCAAGAATCTCCTGGGACCAGCAACCCCATGCTCAGGTTTGACTATGTACCCAGCTTTTTGTACAAAATCTGAGGTTGGTCCCAGCCATTGTGACCAAGACCTGTGACTCAGGGTGCAATGAAGGGAGGGATTGGCATGACCAAAAGGTTGCCTGAACTGGACTGTTGAGATTTCTGATCTCATCAGTGAGAAAGAAATAAGAGCTAAAAGCCCATTTTTCTCAGTGTCTGGAAGTACAGTAAGTTTTCTTTGGCTCCCTGGTGAAGAATGGCCCCTGGATAAGGGATGTCTTTGGCTTTCTGAGGACCAGCAGCCCAACCAGGAAGAGAAAACCTCAGTCCTTGGGCTGGGAAGAGGTGAGGGGTGGAGCACCCATAGCCTGGATGGGAGAAGCACACTGGCCACATTCAGCATCACCGGACACTTGGGTGGCAAGAATCGGCCAGGGAAGCAGCCTTTTAACTGATGATATGAAGGAAAACAGGACGACAGAACATCTATTGCCTCATTCAGACCCCATGTGGCCCTTTATTTGGCCTCTTGGAGCCCATCATCCCAGGGGAGGCTCCTGAATAAGATGGAGAAAGAAGGCTCTGGCTAGCTGAGGAGTGGGAAAAATACACTTCTAGGCTCCTTGGTTGCAGAGAACATGAGAGGCCCCCATTTGGCCTCACCTCCACAGGGAGGGAAGCGCCTGTGAGTGGCCCTTGGAGAATATTCCTCATAGTCATCCCTAGGCCCAGATGTGAAACAGGTACCAAATGGCCATAGCAAGTGTGAGGGCCACCCTGGGAACTGCAAATGGAGACAGCCATGGGGCCACAAGGCTGTCTCCACTGTGCAAATGATGAACTGTCAGTTCTGGGGCTGCCCATGGGCTCCTCCTAGCCAGAGTACATGCACATTGATTGTTCCCTGGGAAGGTCACATGCCAGGACTTGGCAGACATCATAACTCTAGTTGCCACTCACAGCAAACCTTTGCAACCACTTTACTACCTCTCACGGGTTCTTATGGGCTTGGTGATAGCAGTTTTCTGTTCAGCTGGCTGGTATGGATGGTCAGCCTAGCTGGTAGGAACTGAGATGGCAGGGACTTCATCAGCTAGCTCCCATGGGGCTCTCCTTGTGGAGCTGCCTCTAGGAGGCTGTGCTTACCTGTCCCCAGAGCTCACAACTCTCTGTGCAAGTCCACAGGGTGGGGCTGGAGGTATGTTTCTCAGTGTTTAGACACAGGCCTGCTCAGAAGATGAAGGGAGGAGACTGGTGAGGAGTGAACAGAATAGAGTGCCATGGAGTGGTCCAAGAAATAGCAACAGGAGCCTCATTCTCAAAGTGATTCTTCATTAAGATGCTTTTCCTGATTAGGGGTTGAACTCCCAAAATTTAGATTTTGGTTATAAACTGTTTCTGTATGGCAATTTGAAGGGATTATTTAACACAAAGCATGCTTCCTTTCAAGAGGGCTCTTAATGGGCCTGGTACTGAGTCATCACTTGGGCAGAGGCAGTTAATACTGGATGCTGTCCTCCCAGCTTCTCCATTTTGGAGGACTTGAAGCTTCTAGCTAGATGTTTCACCTTGACAATGCAGAGACCTATGCAATGGGACTAATCTCTTCAAGAATTTTCATCTATGGTGTTCCTCTAGTAATGGGCTAAGCAGTTTAATCAACATTAAAACACATTTCCTACAAAGGAAGGGACATCAACATTCCTTATTACTTCTTTACTCCTTTCACTTTGGGGCCCACTACTGAAACTGGCTGTCTTCAGGTTGGTTTCAACTTGACCTCCAACCTGTTCTCTCTTCCCTTATTTCATAACAGTCCAGATGAACCATCTGATTAGGTTGACAGTGACAGTTGCAGAGGCTCCATTTTAGAGATCAGTCCATGGCCTCCTTTAACATGTGGGGTGGGGTATGCTGGCCTGAGGTGCTGTTTCCTGTTTCAATATTTCCCTAGAAATCTTACTTCTTGGTGGAATCTTTTTTTGTTTTTTTGATACCACGGATTGAACTCAGGACCTTGTGCTTACGAAGGCGCTGGAACTGCTGAGCTAAATCCCTGGACCTCTTGGTAGAATCTTTGGATTTTAAAAATTGTGACTCTTCCACAACTTACAGCAGTGGTTGAAGTTACACACCTTGCTCCTGGGTTTAGAAATGGACTGTGATAGTGAACCTGTCATTCCTCATCTTGGTTTTTTTGGGGGTACCAGGGATTGAACTCAGGACCTTGTGCTTGCGAGGCAGGCACAGTGCCACTAAGCTAAATCCCCGGCCCTCCCCATCTTGCTTTTGACCTTTTTCAGATCAGTTGCTGTATTTGAAGTATAGATTTCAACCCCACGCCAATTCAGAAGTTCTTCAAATTTCTTTCTTTCTTTTTTGGTACCGGGGATTGAACTCAGGACCTTGCACTTGCAAGGCAGGTGACAGAACCACTGAGCTAAATTCCCAGCCCAGTTCTTCAAATTTCTAAGAAGGCCAGTAGACTTCACCCCAAGTGCCAGAGCTGCTATGCTTGTACCACATGATCTAGAGGCAAAGAGCAGCCCTCCATTTCCTGGCTATCTTGCATGTACACTGCCCATCTGCCAGTGCTAAGGACATGCCCCATGCCCAAACTCAAGTGCTGCATGTGGGCCAGTGTCTTGTCCTGTTGTGTTACATCTTTGCAGGGCCAGCAGCACCAACTGAGCCAACAAGGAGAGGTGTTGGCAGGCATACAAGGCCTCTGGAGGAACTAAGCTGTCACGGCAGGCAAGTAGGCTTCTCCCAGTCTCCTTTACCTTCCACCTCCTAGAAAGCTCACGAGGAAGTGCCTTGGCTTATGCTTTGAAGCAAACGGGCCAGCTTTTGGCTTTGCCCCAAAACTGTGATCAAAAGCGACAGAATTGGAATTTTTAAGAGACGAAAGTATTAAGAGACTGTAAAAAGCTAAAAAGATCAAATTTCTACTTCTGGATGGAAAGTGAAGCCACTTTGAGGTGATAAGGTTGGGCACAGTAAGTTTTCCCCATCTCCTCCTCCTCCCTTGGGCCCCTGGTCTATTAAGTTTGGTGAAAACTTTGGGAAAGATGTGGCAGAAGTGGATGGGGGAATGGCGGTGAGATGAACATGCTCCATCTTGCTAACCTGCTGGTATGTAACTCAAGTTCCCAGGAGGGCCTGCTTTGCTTCCAACTGAAGGTCACACACAAAGGGTCTTGGAGCTGTCCCATTATCTTCAGCTGGGCAGGACAGTAATCAAGCCTCCAAATTAAGACTGCTGAGGCAGCAGATCAGCTCTCAAATCAGACACAGAGATGTAGGAACTGATGTCACCCACATCCGATGGGGACCTGGTGCAGCTGTCTCCACACTTCAATGATGGAAATACCAACAGGTTGGACCCTAAGCCATGGGGGGGTCCGTCACCTGCAATACAGGACCCCAGGGAGCCTCTGCCAGGCTGTCTTGACACTGGATAGTTGGAGCTACAGTTTGGACTGAGATAAATGCCACCCTATAGGTTGCAGTGAGAAAAAGCATAGTCTTGTGCTGAACTCATAGTTGTTATTTTCTAAAAAGCTATTTTATTATTGCATGTCTTGTGTCTGTGAATGTCTGTCCCGAACCCATGAGCTGAGTCGTCATAGTGGCTAAAGCCAGAGTACGACTGACATGTGTGACAGTATCTCACAGGTGTGACTGCACAGGAGTTTATAGAGTAAATGCCAAACAGTATGAGGAGTGTACTTTTTAAGAAATTTATTTATTTGAGTTTAGATATTTTTGAAATATAAAAATTGGTTATTTTTTAAAGCTATGATTCTTGTAGACATTGTGGTTAAAAATGAGTGTGCTTATTAAAAATGGTCATGTATGGTTTGCATCTCAGCTATATGAAAAATAAAAATTCTCTGGGAAGGTGACATTTGGGTTTTTGACTGTAGGAGGGAGTTGGTTATCTTGAGTAGACCAGAAAAGCCTGTATTATAGCTGACTGTCATACCAGAAAGGAACGGGGGACTTCCCTGGGTGGAAAAAAAATTCTTTTATTTTTAAATTTTTTGGTTTTTTTGACAGGGTCTCACTCTGTAGCCCATTCTGGCCTTCAACTTGCAGCAGTCTTCCTGCTTCAGCCTCTTGAATGTGCCACCATGCCTGGCTAACCATTTCTTTTATAGTAAGCTTTTTGGTGTTGAAGATTGAATCCAGGGGTCTTGCATATGCCAAGCAAGTGCTCTACTTATGAGTGACACCCCCAGCCTTCATACGGTGAGCTGAACACCAGCTGGGTATATCTTGTACACTTGTTTAACTTTAAAGCACAAAGCAGGAGACTCAAAATTACCCCCTACAGTTGTAATAGAATTCAGTGCTCCTTTGTCATCTTATTGGGCAATGAAACAGGAAGAATGGGCAGCACTTACAATCTATGAACCTGGGTATTTACCTGTCACAGCAAGACAAGGGAGCCCCAAGAAGAGTAAAAACACCGTAATCTTTCTACTAGCTTTGTCCTGTACCACTTTATAAATGATCAACTTGGTTACATAGTATTGTATTTTTCCAGAGTAATTATATAGCTGTTGAGAAAATTAAGATTCAAATTTAAATTCTTTAATAACCTGTCCCAGAATTATTAACAATAGGACTTAAATTTTGATTTGTGAAAACATGAGAATAGTCTGTAAGAGATGCCCCTCAGGGCCGGGGATTTAGCTCAAGTGGTTTCACCGCCTGCTGTGCAAGCGCAAGGACCCGAGTTCGATCCCCGGTACCAAAAAAAAAGATGACCCTCAAAAGGGACAGGGCAACTTAGTGGTCATGTGTGGTGGTTCTGCTGTCTCAAGAGGGTACTGGCTCCTTAGCAGGTATCCTTGGACAATCTGTGTATGGCGCCAAGGCAGATGCAGAGCAGGCTGGCTCTTTCAGAAGTCAGGTAGGCCAGGCAGTGGGAAGAGCGAAGCAAAGCTCTCTACTTCATCCCGGAGAGCCTGTACAGCCCTCTGGTGCTTCTCATCTGCCAGCTTTTCCTTGAACTCCTTCAGCGTGGCCCTTGAGCCCATGTCGTTCTGAATCTGTAGAGTCAGCTCTATACCTGTGCACAAGATAGTGAGTCCCCCGTGAGCTTGTCTCATGCTAGACACACCAACGGAGAGGACAGTTGGGAGCCAGAGCACAAGTGTCACATATTCCCCTGGGCTGGGAGTGATTGAGCTTTATGGCTGTCAAGTGTTCCCCTCAGAAAAGATTCTCATGCATGTCCCTGAACAGCACACATTTATAAACCTCTCAAATGAGTTGCTAGAGTGATTTTGCTGTCCCCTGTCCCCAGCAATCAGCTTTGACAGAACTATCTTTTGGTGGTGGTATCTCAGCCGCTCAGGTACAATCAGAAACTTCCTACATGTAATAAAATGTGGCATAGATATGGCAAAATCTTACCCTTACCCTTATGGATAAAGTATGCAACTTTTTGGAAGTCTTTTTCCAAAAGTCCTCGGGTTGTCAGTGCTGGAGTCCCCAGTCGCAGTCCACTGGGCCTCAGTGCGCTTCTGTCACCTTTAAGACAAACAGGTCTCTGTCCCTAAGCTGCACACCCAGTGTGCATCACCATGGTTACTATGCATTTAAAAAGGGACACTTTGGGCCGGGGATTTAGCTCAGTGGTTCCACTGCCTGCCTTGCAAGCGCAAGGACCTGAGTTCGATCCCTGGTACCAAAAAAAAAAAGGGACACTTTGGCAAAAATAATTGGCCCAAGGCTCTTTGCTCTATCTTGCCAGAAGAGTACAGCTGACTTAAAAACTAGAGGTAGAACTGAAGGCACGAGTAGGCAGGATCACATTGGGGTCACTCTGTTTTTCTTTTTGGTACTGGGGATTGAATTCGGGACCTTTTTCTTCCCAGCCAGGCATGGTGCCACTGAGCTACACTCCTGGGCCTGTTGTATTTTTTTTTAACACTAGCAAAGTTTTATTAAATGTAGGAAAAGAAACAGGCTCTGTAGAGCCAGTATGAGCCAAGTAAAAGTAGGAAAAGAAGTACACCCTACAGTGTGAGGGTGGGTCACAATGTGAGAGAGAACACTGTTTCAACAAAATACAAAGTAGTCTTCTGTGGTGTGGCCCTCTGCAGGTTAACATCTGTCTAGGTCTGAAATGTGTTACTGGCATTTATTAACACACTGAGAAATGTTGCTAGTTTTTAAGAGACCCTACCTCAACAGCTGTACCACTGAGGGCTCCACAGCATTTTTTCTTGTGCTGCCCACAGGACAAAGACTAAGTGTAAAGAAGCCCAGAGTGGGCCGGGGATTTAGCTCAGTGGTTTCGCCACCTGCCACACAAGTGCAAGAACCCGAGTTCGATCCCGAGTACCAAAAAAAAAAAAAAAAATTGAAGACAAAATCAGGCTCCTAGGGTCTCTGGAGCCCTGAAACACTGAAGTTTCTTCCACATCAGCAAGACTTTCGGGTCGGGGATGTAGCTCAGTGGTTCTAGTGCCTGCCTCGCAAGTGGAAGGACCCGAGTTCGATCTCCCAGTTACCAAAAAAAAAAAAAGCCCAGCGTTAGCTCCCCACTGTATGTATCTGTCCCCCCATGCCAAATACCTTTATTAGCTTTGGCCAGAAGAGATGCAGATAGGAGGGGTATAGAAAAGAAGACCAAGGAAGAGTCTCACCTGGGCAAGTATTCTTGTTGCAGGCAATAGAACAGGCTTCTAGCACCTTCTCAGCCCTTCCACCATCTGTGCCCTTGGAACGTAGATCCACAAGGATCAAATGGTTGTCAGAGCCACCTGGAAACAGAGTTGGACAGAAGGCTTACCATAGGCCAGGTGAAGGAACTTCTCTTCCTAAGAAATGTGGGTGGGGGGCCAGGGATTTAGCTTAGTGGTTTCGTCGCCTGCTGTGCAAGTGCAAGGATCCGAGTTCAATCCCCAGCACCAAAAAAAAAAAAAAGAGTAAAGAAATGTGGGTGGGGAGCTGTTGGTAGTGGTGGAAGAGTCCAGGGCCAAAGAGGTCAGAGAAGTGAGCACCCATCATGTGGCCCAGAATATCAATAACCCACAAGAGAAAAGATGCACTAGGCCCAGGGATTGGAAAAAAAAAGACAGAATACATGCATGTATAAGGGGGTAGCTGATGACACAGGTAGGATGTGAAGCTGCTAGGTAAAATGTCCAGCAGCTTTTGCAGCCCAGCATAGGCTGCAGTGTGCCTACCTTTGTAGTTTCTGGTTTCTCTAGTGACTTGAGAATTTTGCAAGTGTCCTCTGACATCAGTCTTTTTTTACAGCACTGGAGATTGTACTCAGGGTCTCAGATATACTTGGCAAGTACTCAACCACCGAGCCACACCTCTGGCCCCTTGGACACCAATCTTAAATGTGTGGGACCAGAATGTTTTAGGTTTTAGACTCAGATTTTCAGTGTTTTAGATTTTTGGATATTTGCTAGACTTTACTGGTTGAACACCCATAACCCCCAAACTCCAAACTCAACTTTTTAGGCGTCAAGTCAGCACTCAGATTTCTAATTTTGAATCAGGGATTCTCAACCTGTGTTATCAAAGTGGTACCTATAATGTTGCAGTCCTGTCCCCTCCCCCCTTAATTCACATGGTAAAGGCTTGCTTCCCAGGGTGGCACTATTGGTTTGTGGTGGAGCTTTATTGTTTGAGGAGGTGAAGGATGAAGCAGAAAAGGAAAGGAAGTGAAGCAGACTGAATTGGAGAGAGGAATGCTACCCAGGACCGCTGAGAAAATGGCGTTTGCCCAGCCCCTGCCAGCTCTACTTCTGCTGCTCCTGGACAAGCTGGGTGGGAGCACCACACCTCAGACTGGGGTGGTGGGACTGCCATTTCTATAAAGGGTGAAGGGCAGGGTACTGGGGGAAGCTCTCAAGTGATCCCAGGAGTCCCTTTCTGGACCACCTCTGCTACACACATGGCAGCTGTGGGAAAGCCAACCTTCCTCGTAAAAACTGGGCATCTGCAAGAAAACACTGTCCTCCCTGAAGGTACGTGCAGTACCTAGGAGGCAAATGGCAGCCCTAGAGTTGGGTTCTTCCCTAGAAAGTGGAGCTCACTCATGGACAACATCTCTAAGATGGTTTGTATTAAACCAAACAGGGCTGTAGCAAGCCAACTGCCAAGAAAATCCAGCCAACCTGCCTCCACCCCCGAGCACCCTGAGCTCAGGCCATACTTTAAATAAAGGTCCTGGCTGTTTCAGCTACCAGGTATGGGATGATTATAGTTTTGCCTCTCTCAGGCAGGCCTTGGGTACTTCCCCACAAAGTTGTTGTGAGGACGCGTCATCTTCACACTGGGTGAAAACAGCAGCTACCATGACCATCATTTTTGGCCTACCTGGGGGCCCAGCTAGTATGGCATAAAGGGAGAAGCCACAAAGGAGGCCATCCAGCTGAGGGCACACTGACTTACTCCAGAGGTGGCCTGAGTTGTTGTAGCAGCAGTGGCATGCCCATAACCACTACCCTCTGGGCCACATACTGACCAGAGGAATTAAAGGCAAGGCTTTAATAATCTATCTACCCATAAGACACCAAGAATGCCCATCACCAAGTGTGCTTATACCTGTGACAATTTTGTAACCCAGCTCCGTAAGGGCCTCAGACAGAGCTCTGGAGTTGGCCACCACCTGAAGCTGATAGATTTTGAATTCTGTAGTCATGGCTTGCTTCAGGGCCACAGCAACACCTGGACAAGGAGACAGTAGGTCAGGGAGGCAAGATCAAATTCAAAGACAGTGAATCAAAAGCATCTCTTGTTTCCCCTCAAACTTCCTTGCTTTTGCAATATCATCCAAGGAGGGTACAGATTACATTTTCTCCAAAAATAATTTTTTTTTAATGGTGCTGGGGATGGAATCCAGGGCTCTGCATGTGCTGAGCACATACTC